CCGGGAGATGCTGGATGTTATTCTGGGATGTTCTAGCTGAGGTAGGTTAAGACGACGGACTGGATGGGCAGCCTGCACACGGGACACAGCTTGTTCCTGTTCTTCAGCTTCCTGGCGCACACGTAGCAGGACATCAGGTGTCCCGTGTTTCCGTGAACGATGCAGCCGTTCTTCGGACGCGACTGACAGATGAGACACGGATCCAGACAGGACTCGGGAAGACGCCATTCTGCAGAAACACTGCGCTCCAGATTAGGGACTCCGGCAGGAGGACGAGGAGTGTTGGCGGAAGATGGGAGGAGCTCCTGGGAGTCGATGGAGGACGAAGAAGGCTGGGAGTCAGGAGTGCTCTGCTGCGAGGACGAGGACGGCATGGAGGAAGAGAGGAGCTCCTCAGAGTTTGGGGCTGAAGAGTCGGAGAAGCACTGAGACGAAAGAGGCGTCTCTTTTGACCTTTTCCCATCGGGGACGTCCACTCCTTCGTTCTCCTCGCCATCTGAACCTACAGGAGACAAACGGACATCAGTTAAGGATGCACAAGTAATGTATTGCAAAAGAAAATGTACGTCTAATATCGATCGTTTTGTTATTTCCCACATCTTGCAATCTACTTATTTATATAAATAGTTATCACCGCAATAAACCGTATTTAATTTGGTCTTAATGTACATTATTTAATTTCATATTCTGTTCTTGTTCTATTTACATGTGTATAGACTTCTTGCACTACTTTTTATTTGTATTTTATTATATGTTGCATGTTGGAGGAGCTCAGGTCAGAAGAACTTCATTGCCATTTCTACTCTGTAGCTTTTGAGCATATGACGATAAAAACCTTTGAATCCTTGCAGGTAAACAGCTTCTCTCTACCTGGAGTCTCTCTGGCTGCTGATTGGTCGATGGGCTTTGTGGGCAGGTCTTTGGAACTGGAGGAGGCGGGCTTTGGGGGGAGTGACGCTTCAGACAGCCAATCCTGGCGCAGCGTCCAACAGCGAAGACATTTTCCGGGCAGAGGTGGGTTCAACTCGTCACACTTCACACAGCGCCAGTAATCCTGAAAGAGAAACGCACACTGTTAGACCGTGTGTGTGTGTGTGTGTGTGTGTGTGTGTGTGTGTGTGTGTGTGTGTGTGTGTGTGTGTGTGTGTGTGTGTGTGTGTGTGTGTGTGTGTGTGTGTGTGTGTACTCACAGCTTCAGTGATCTCTGTGTCTTCATCAAACGAGTCGTTATCCTCCGCTTCAAATATGGTGACCTCGTATATCTGGATAGAGAACAAAATAAATAAAACAATCCTTATTGTATTTATTTTCATACATTATATCCAGTCTGATTGGTCAACCAGCTTAGAGATGTCCCGCCCCTTAGCCTATCACGTACAGTGTGTTGGAGCGCTAGCCAATAGGAGCATCACAAAACTCAGGGTACATGTAAAGAAATGATACTTTTCGTTCTAGAAAAAACTCTGGTATGTTTAGTCTTTTATTTCTTTCACGCATTTAATTCTAAAAAATAAACTTGTTTTTTTATTCATAGCAACATTTTAAATAAATAAAATAAATGTATTAATTAAAATACTTTTCATGTACAATGTGTTGGAGCACTAGCCAATAGAAGCACGAGTGTTCCGTAGTGATGTCGCCGTGTTCCGGAACTTTAGCGTTTGCAGAACATTTGCATGCACAAAAATCTTTATTAAAAACACACTACAGGAGAGCGAACCCCCCCCCCCAAAAAAAAAAGAAGAATAGGGTCTCTTTAAATACTAAAATGTAAACAGATGAATATTTACCTGATCTTCTGCGGACATCAGAGAAGCTTCGTCTTCGTTGTAGTCTTCCGAGTCGACGGATTCGACCTCGAACTCCACGCTGAAGTTGTCGCTCTCCGAGTCTGAGGCGGCAACCGTGAGCTCTGACCTGCCAGACTACACACACACACGATGAATAAAATGAACGCTAATGAGTGTCTTTGAGGGTTATTATTGTGAGCTAACAGTGAAATTAAAACAAAAAAACACTACAAATAATTTTATTTTTTTTCTCAAACCAGCAACTAAATGCTTAATAAAACAGAAAAAGTAATGAAACGTATTAAAAACACTCACGGTGCTGTGTGAGTCTGACGATTGGCTGCTGTGTCTGTCCTTCGGCAATCCTCCAATCACACACCACGACAGACTCTCATCAAACGTCAGGGAGTAGCTGTCAGACCTCCTCCTCTTCCTCCCTCCTTCTTCATCATCTTCCTCCCCTGACTCCTCCTCCTCCACTTTCTCAGGTTCACCACCCTCTGTGCTGTGTGAGGGTCCTGAGAGAGAGAGAGGCAGTGATTGGAGTTTAATACCTCAGACTTAAAGGTCACCTATAATGCTATTTGTAGCCAATAGCATAGGTCTCAGATATATACAAATATATAAAAAACATGTTTATGAAGTGTTTTGCTCAAAATACCAAACAGATCTCCCATTCTAGCCATGCCTCATATCCCTCTATTTCACTTCCTGTTTCAAAAGTGCTGATTTTGGGTATAAAGCTTTAAAATAAAAAATAAAAAAAAAGGAGGGGGCGGAGCTTATGTGGGACCCGGCAGCTACTGTCTAAACTAATGCTGCCGTGATGAAACGCCATATCATGGATTATCAAGGATTCTTTCTGAAACAGTATGGAGCTCAAAGGCTTTCTCTCTTGCCGGTTATACCACAAGGTGAGTTCCTTTTTACTTCCTGCTTCTTCACACACATGCTCTCCAGTACAGGTTAGCTCTGAGTGTTAGCGATGCTAATGTAAACACAGACCATATTACGTCCAAAACAGTCGGGCATTGTTTCTGATAGCAACGTTTCTGATTGGGCCGTGGGTCCACATTTCAGATATTACGTCATATCGGACGCAAATCTGGATCAGCTCCGTT